TGTCGATGGTCGTTCAGCCTAACCCATTTAGTGCATCTAGTGAACTCCTTAACTTTGCTGATATTTCCCCTTGAGGTTCGCCTGAGGGCACATGGAGGGTATAAACAGGTCTCTTGTTGATGACCGAATATTATGTCTTGTTATAATCAATCGAGGCTGGCATTATGACTTCGACTGAGTCACTGATGTTTTTCTCCAGCTTGAGGCAACGTGCAAGCTCGGCTAGAGTGCTATGGAAACGCTCGACTTGGCCATTGGATATGCTATGCAGCTGCGGCGCATTAACAATATATACTTCGTAGTTGTTTAACAACAGTGTCTTTATCTTTTGAGAATTCGTCAAAGAGTCGTTGTCGCAATAAATTGTTCTGGCTCGTGGAAAGAAATTTATGAGCTGCAGTAGTGGAGCTTTTAATTCCCCGATAGTGCGCGATTAAATTGGTTGTACGACTCAAATTTAGTGAACCTATCAACACAGGTCAAAAAAAATTTGTTTGTCCCTGGAAAATATATCAATGTGTAGAAATTCCCCAGGAGTCTCAGAGATCGGAGTTACTCCCTACTCCTGTCTTTTCGGGTGCCTACGTTTTTGGCTGCTGAGCAGATTCTATAACTTTCCGCAGTTTCCTTAGCCAACTTCGCTATTTTATGGAAATAGCGATAATATTTGATAATACTTGCTTAACATTTTCTTCAGCTGCTCTGTGCGCTCTATTATGTTCGGCAACGAATTTCTCTCCTCTCGTCAACGTTGAAGCACTAACCAAACAACATATAGACTGGACATGAGTACCGGAAAGTATAAAATAAAATGTATTGGAGGCATCTGGTCCAAAATCGTGAGTAAGGGAGTAAGATATACATATGATATATTTTTAAACCGCTAACTCTACAGGAAAGTTCTTGGCGCACTCTCTTCCATATGATTTGTGCGATAGAACGGCAACGCTGTTAACTTTTATCTCGCTCGCACATACTCTCAGCTCTCAATGCTTTATGTTTAGGGATCGTTTCAATGTGTGTGTGTATGTGTCCGACAAGCAAAACTGCGCAAAAGTTCAATTTTTCCAAAATGCTGAGGCATTTAAAATATTTTGGACTCGCTATTCACGCATACTTGCATATTTTGTATATGAATAGACGCATTTTTGCGCTTGTGTGCCTGTTGCTTGCCTGCCTGCCTGTCCCCGATGCAAATTTAACAAGATTTTACGATTTCTTATTTTCGACCTCTACACATAGACACACACATACAAGTGTCTGTGAATGGGCTGATCATGGGCGCAAAAGAAAATACATTATTGGCACGCGTCTGATAAGAAATCCTAAAATCTTGTTAAAATTGCATCGCTGTGGACTGTGGCTGCGCAGGAATCAGTATTCAGCTCGTCAAGAGCGTTGAGCTGTTGTCGCGATAGCGCATCAGCAACTAAATTCTCCTTGCCTGGCTAATAAAATATTCGCGCATTCGTTTCCTCAATGCGCGCCTTCCATCTTTTAATTTTGGCATTCGGGTTTGACCCAGAAACGGCAACAATTAACGGATGGTGGTCCGTGAAAATGTTAATGTGTTTTATCCCATATAGGTAGTGGCGTAGCTTGCTAAGGGCCCAAACTATAGCCACAAGCTCCCGCTCGTTGGTGGCGTTGTTCAGCTCCGGGGGTTTCAATGTTCTGGAAATCATTGAGATGGGGCGACCCTCTTGAGAAAGCACTGCCCCTATGCCGTAAGCTGAAGCGTCGGTCGTTAGATCAAATGGCTTCTTAAAGTCAGGGTATCTGAGCATGACGTTTTCTGCTGACAAAATGTTGCGAAGCTTTTGGGATGCGTGACGCTGAAGCTCAGATAATTCTAACGGGATATTTCACGATCTGTGTTTACTTACTGACCCATTCTCGCCCTTTAGAAGATCAGAAATGGGTTTGCTATTGAGGAAAAGTCTTTGATGAAAAACCTTAAGTAACTCGCCAGTCCTAAAAATGATCTGATCTCGAATATATTCATTGATTCTGGGAACTCCTGAATCGCTTTTACACGAAACCAAGAAAAGAAAAAGAAGAAGCAAACTTGACATATAGGGTATCCCCTAGTCGGGAGCTCCCGACTAGAACCTCTTCCTTGTTTAATATTTTTTTTTGCGAATTTTTCACAATTAGTGTCAGAGAGTTTAAGTACTCACAATCTTAAAAGCCTCATGTGCCAAAATAAATAATCAAAACAATTTAAAGCCCCATAGAAAATGAAAGAAAAAAATGTTAAAAAACACAGCTATCAAAAAAGAAAAATTTGATGAAAACTCTCCGCTGGAAGGCCTTTCATCAAGGAATACTTGTATGTCTGTCCCTTTTGTTTTGATTATATTTTCGTATTTTTGGCATAGATAAGCACAGCCAGAGAATTCTATTTCACGATCTGTGTTTACTTACTGACCCATTTGCGTTTTGCGTTTGAGGCAAAATCTTTCTTTAAAAAATGCGATTTTTCCTTGGAGATTCTCATATTTTCTTCGAACAGGCTTTTTAAGACCCACTCTACATGTTGGATATGAGAATTTTCGTCTTTTGAGAAGACGATGACATCGTCAACATAGACATAGCAAGATTTGCCAAGTTGCTTACGCAGTACGCTATCAAGAGTTCTTTGGAAGCTGCTGGCCGCATTCTTCAACCCAAGGGGAAGTCGACAAAATTCGTTCTTCCCCCCGTTAACTGCAAAGACTGTTTTTTCACGGTCACGCTCTGCTAGCGTGATCTATTGATTGACGGATTTTAGGTCACATGTTAAAAAGTATTTAGCTTTGCCAAGATTCCCCAAAATCATTGGAATGTTAGGCATAGGGTATCTGTCTGTGAAGGTTTTCTCGCTAAGTTTACGAAAATCAATAACGAGGCGCATATTCTTGTTACCCAACTCGTCCGTCCCCTTCTTGTCCGCCGCCCAAATGGGGTTGTAGGGGGAAACAGATTGGTTGATGATACCGTTCTTCAGAAGGCTTTGAATTTCTTTATTAACGAATTCCGCTGGTCTAATGGGAAAGGAATATAGTCGGACATAAGCTTGTGGTTCATCAGTGGTCCTCATAGTGTCCACCACTGATGTGTTATAGGGAAGTACTTCTTCCGGATCCGCAAAGACCTTATGTTTGCTTTGTAGGCGAGAAGAAAGACAAAGTGACACTCCTGCTTGCGTGAGCAAGTCGAGCCCCACAATTCCATCAAATGTGAACAGGTCTGGGAGTAAGAAAAATATGGCAGTTTTGCCGAACTGAGATATAAGGCACTTATGAGTAATCGTCGCGGTGCCTTGTATAGAATGGGTAGAGAAGAAAGAACTAACAGCACATACCGTTTAGATTTTTATGTGGCCTGATATAATTCTTGAAACCGATCGTGTTGATGAGAAATCTCATCTGGATCCCTGCTACTGTCCTACTGATGTAGGGCAGCAGGAAGCTTCCACTAAAAAATTGAGCGTGTCTAAGTCATATTCGCTGTTCTGCTGCTGCTGCAGAGCTAGCATTCGCACCTGAATCTTGACCAGGCTCGTGAGCTGTGTGATTGACTCTCTGCCTCCTTTGTCAGCTTAAGCGCCCAGACGTGGCCGTTTTTTTAGCCTTGAGGAGCGCTAGAGTTAACGTAGGCTGGTGCCTGCGATTGATGTGGAATTTTTGACATAGATGGATCGACGTCCATTGGTTCCTGTGACCTGCCACCTTTGTTCCACCTGCCACTCTGTTCCTGAAATTGACTTTGTTGGTGTTGCTATTGTTTAGTCAAGTAAGGATTTTTGAAACCGCTGGGTTGCGGATCCCCCTGCTGTTGACCCCTATCTAGATGACGGACCTGCGGCCTCGGGATCACTTTTTATGCCCTATCTTCTTGCCCTTTTGCGAAGCTAGCGGCAAAGGCGTACCTCTTGCGCTGGTGCTAGGGCCGACGGTAAGTTCTTAGGCTTTGCCGCAAACACGACTTTCGTCAGGCTACGTTTTAGGCCTAAGACAAAAGCACGCAACGCATCATCACTGAACTTCGTACATAGCGCTTGTGCCATGCTTGGTTCAAATCATATGTTGACCTTATTGGAAAGAAGAGTAGGCTTTTTCTCAAACTCGTTATAGTATTGTAAAATTGTTAATGAGCTTAGTGTGCTCATCTCTTTCTCTATGACGTGAATGCCTCTCTTATCCCTGTATGTGAAATAGAGATGGTTTATTATGGCATCCAAATTCATTACTGTGCCAAACTGACCCAAAACACCATCAGCTGTCCCTATAATTTTTCTCTTAATAATTATGACCGCCTGGTAGTGGTAGTGGTAGTGGCGTGAGCTGCCGTCGTATGGGTTGTAAATTTTATCGCAGGTTGTCTCCAAGAGGCACACCAGTAAATTTTGGTCAATTGCCTGGACCGGATGTGTTTCTATACTACTGGCAGATATTCTGTCTGTCAATTCTTGTATCCGAGTGCCTAACGAAGCCCTCAGTTCTGTCTCTCTTTTCTTCAAAAATGCGCTCTGCGCAGTTAAGGCGGAGGTCACTGCGGCCAACACCAAAGCCCTAAGCTACTCATGCTCCATTCCCATTTTACACCTATCGTCAGCGATTTCTTGCGGGACGGCTTTCCTACCTAAGGTTGAGGCGTCTGACTCAGATCCCCTCGCAGAGCGGTCTCTATACCTGATAAACGAACTGTTCATTGACTATACTGTCAACAATAATAAAAACACAGTTTCAAGGGCCAATCAACAACAGTAAATTAAATGAATGCTTACAGAGGAGAGTTCATTGAAAATTGCTGATGGATGCAAAATTGTGTTGCACAAAGTAAGTTGGAATAAAAATTACTGCAATTTTTTATATTTTATTTTGTTGTTGTTTTATTGCTTGACGAAACGAGTTCATTCCTACATGTTTGTAAAAATTAATTTCATTAATTCAAGTATTCCTGAATAGAGTACCTGGACTTATTTATAAAAGTTTTAATTATATTTTTTTTTTTAGTTGGAGCCCATTAGAAGACAGGCACATAGCTGAAACAAGATTAAATCATATATTCAAGTTATTTGGAAAAATTCAGTGCTTTTCAATGGATGTTATCGGAAAACAGGTTATTTTTTTAGTGATATCGAAAAAAATCGGTTGATATTTATATTATTTTGCAGATTGGACCCGCCTACGTTCATCTCGTTTTGCACTCCCCCACATTTGGAAATTTTCAAATATTTCAAACCATTACTCCAGTAGAACCACTATTACAAAAAGTAGTACACAGATTTTACGCTTCCCGATTCATGGCACCAATTATGAAGTTTTTAATTTTTGGAGAAACCGTTATGGTATGTAAATTATTTCCAAATTTTGAACTACATATTCAAATTACAACTTTTTTTTTTAAATCAAGTTTGAGCGGGATTTGAATATATGGAATCATAAAATGTACCGGAACAACCCTATGCTTCTAATGGAAGAATCCTCACTAAAAAAATTTAGGAAATGGTATGCACAGTTCTACACGGTAAACAGTAAATCATTTCAATTAGAAACCAATACAAATTGGTAGCAAACAAAAAAAAACAACAATTATACCGACTATGTCAATATCTTAAAATAAATTCAAAACTATTGGATTACAAAAATATCTGTTTTGGTTGAAGTAAGCATGACGAAAAAATTAAAACGGATCCTAAGCGGATCAACAGACAATCCCCAAGCGAAGTCTCATAAAATTCAACAGCATCACGTATGGAAGAGAGAGCGGAAAAGTAGGAAGGAGATACTTAAGATAATCCGTGCCTTTGGTTAATGATTATATATCGATTCGTAAAAATTCCTTGATTTAGTGGTTGAGATTTTCCTTGAACTTTTTTCTTTTGTTCTCCAAAGCTAACAGATGCGTGCCTTCAAGTGATATAAATTGCAAATAAATTGGAAAATAAAATAAAGTAATAAGTAAATCAATAGACAAGTAAGTAATGTTTATATTTGGAAGGTTTTTTTTTATTAATACTTTTCTGTGCCTCCTCAGTAATAAAGTAGGTTTTTTGAGTAGGAAAAATAGAGAGTAAAGATTTCGGATTACTAACTTCTATAAAAATAGAAAAACGTCTTTGAAATGAAGAAGCCGCCAATATATTTGCTAGGCTCTGCATGTAAGACGATGCGCAGATAAAAATTATAGCGTTAATAAAATTAGTACAAAAAATGAAGTAGAATATAAAACACAATTAAATTGTTGTCTGTTATCTTGAAGAATTATTCAAGGATGCTATATCACCAGAAGATATTAACAAGTACGGGGTTCTAGTCGGGAGCTCCCGACTAGGGAATACCCTGCATTCCAATGCCAAATGCAGTTCGCGCTAAATGAAAAAAACAGTTCCCTTGGCAAGGTTCAAACACGCCACTCGCCACATTACTTGCTGACGACTCTACTCAACACACCAGCCACACCAGGCATAAAAAAATAGTTTCCCTGGAAGGTTTGAACTCGCGACAGACCGCAACACTTTCTATACCTCAACTCAACAGTCACACCAATAATGCATGCAGTTGATAGAATTCGAAGCAGACTCGCATGAATGTGTGTGTGTGTCATATATACAGAAATTCGTGAATTTTGTGCTGGCTAACGCTGAAATGAGGAAAGTCAAAGCATATTTTCTTTAACATCGTTTGTGTTTCTTAACCGATTTTGATGAAATTTTTTACAGTACATCTTATTATGCCATTGAATATTTGGGTATTCAAATTCAATTGCATTAAAATTGTGGCTCAAATTGGGCAATACAAATTGGATTCGTAACTTGATTTATAGCTCTGCGATGGTATCGGGGAGGTGGCAATAGGTGTAAAATTAAGGATACTTAATATACTTATTTATAGTATTCTAGAAGCAACATATCAAGTTTGGTGACTCTTGTTCTTAATATTTAACCAATTTGCTCAAAAAACAGGGTGTCGATATCGATTTTTATCGATTGCTTGGAAACGAAGTAAGTTACTAGATACTAGATCGGAAACAAACTCGATCTGCGCAGGCGCTAGGAGGACCTCCAGCTAAAAATTTCTATAGCTCTTATAGATTCTGATGTCTTTGCTTTGTACATACGAGCAGACGGGCGGACGGTCAGATGGCCGGACGGACATACGGACGGACAGACAGACGGATATGGCAAGATCGACTGGCTGTTGATGCTGATCAATAATATATATAGTTTATGGGGTCGGAAATACTTTCTTCTGGATGTTACATACATTCGCACATAAACATAATACCGTTTTTACCCATTTTCAATGGGCTCAAGGTTTACAAAAAAGGCTCATTTACCATAGGAAGCAACAACAAATCAACTGCAAAACAATAACAGAGCGCAGGAAACCCAATTTTTTTTCTCGACGTCTGTTTTGATCGCTGTAAAGTTTGTCCAAGATTTTAATGCATAGAAAACTCAATGCAATGAAAGAGGGAGATAATGCCATTGTGTTTGTTGATAGTTTCTCTGTTGTCCCTATAAGGCAGCGTGTAGAAACAACAAGAACCTAATTCGGTTACTAAATTGTTGTTGCAGAGTCTATTCCCGGCTGAAGTATGTAGCAAATTCGAATGTTAGCAGGCTACGGCATTCAAATCAAATACGCACATGGCAGTTTAACTCAACAAATATGACGTCACGTGTGTATACAGAAATTCTTGCAATTTGCGCTTGCTGCCAGCCAAAACACGGTTTTCTTTTATAGCTTCTGTGTTTCTCAACCGATCTTGGTAAAATTTTCTACGGTAGATGTTATTGTGCTATAGGTTATTCGTACTTATATTCAAAAAGTCAAATGCATTTTAATTGTGGTTATATTGGTGGGCTGTATACATTGGCGGGGAGGTGGTGATAGCTATAAAATATAAGACAATATATATTTATGGCGATCTAGCCATGTCCGCCTGTCCGAGACTTGAAATTTTGAACTTTTTTAGTGCTCGCGCAGTACGAGTTTGTTTCCGATAGACGATAACTTGTTCAGTTTCCAGGCAGTCGATATTGAAATATTATTTTTTTGACCATCTTTCATTTTTTAGTTATCACCACTAGCCCGCTACCACCAAATTGAAATAAATGAAGTAAAAACACTGTTTGTTGTAGTAAGCGGTAGAGATAACAGCGACGGCTGCGGGCAGTAACAGCAGAAGATAAAAATTAAAATTACAGCTCTAGAGCAAATAACGTTTGCTCTTTGTTAGTTGCTGTCTTTCATTGGCTCTTTGCCTCCTGCATTGACGCCCGCTGCCCCGCTGGGTGGAGCTCAATTTCGGTTGTTTTGCATATTATCTGCAAATCAAGTGGTCGTTGAAACACAGGTTGCAGTTCTTAAAGTAAAGATTAAAAATGTATGTGAACGACTCAATAGATTGTCCTCTGAACTTGATCCCACGCGACTTGGCGATGTTGATGACTACGAGCTGCAAGATTACATATGCATGGCATCTGACAAGCAGGCGAGATTTGAAACGACCTATGATAGTTTGTTGGATGTAGATCAGGCCAGCATTGAAGAGGATCTTCAGTCAAGTTTTTAGTCAACTATAAAGCGGCTACGAGTGTCCCTTCAACGCGAGCGCGGAAATCAAGGTAAGATTCAGCAGATTCCACATTCCTTCACTTTCAATTCAGCCGCAGCCGATGATCCGCTCTCTACTTTTGTTGTTTAGGACCACTCTCGATTACCTCAACTTCAATAGAGACAGTTTAGTGGATGCTACACAGAATGGTCTGACATCTCGAATATGTTCACCACGGGGTCGTGTTTGATGGTTCGGCAGCTACTACCTCTGGACAAGCTGAATGCTGCTGAATGGGGTCTTGCCATTAGTTACCATCCAACCGAAACTGTGTTCAATTCAATGCGTTTTCGTACATTTGCAGTCGCCCTCACAGGCGACGAATGCAAAATGAATCGATGCGTACGAGCCGAACCAGCAGACAGCTAATTTCAATGTATCATATGCCGGGATTCTCACCATTAGAAGAAACATATTTACATATAAGACACCATCACCTAACCCACAAAACCAGTATCGTTTCTCTCAGTGCTGGGTATGCACCAACTGGCTGAGCAGAAAGCATTCCCCAATAGCGCGGACGTTGTTATAAGGGACTTCTATGTGGATGATCTTATCTCTGGTGGTAGCTGTGTTCAAGAAGCAGTTGAGATATTGAAGCAAACGTGTGGACTACTTACCAACGGTAGCTTTGAGCTGCTACTGTACTCCCTACACATACCGGAAGAGGTTAGAAACTCGCTGCTTAAGTTCAACAATGATAGCGATATCACGAAAACGTTAGGCCTCGCTTGGGATCTCGCCTCAGACTGTTTTCTTTTTCTCCAGACTGACAAAATGATCAATTCTGTCCTTTTTACGACGAGCAATTTCAGTTTCCCCGTCGTACACTCTTAGCCGACAGCACACTTGAAATTTACGGATTTTGTGATGCCAGCCTGGGCGCTTATGGAGCACGCGTCTATACAGTTTCAAAGTGCCATCTCTTGTGTTCCAAGTCGAGTGTCGAGACCTTGAAAACCATCACTGTACCAAAAGTGGAAATCTACGGAGCTACATTATTGGCTTAACTTCTCAACGAAATTAGATTCTGTCAGACTCTGCTGTAGTTTTTCCTTAGCTTCGCATTGATGCTTCCAAATTCAATATTTTCGTTGTCAATCGGCTGGCAGCCATCCAAGAGCTCACCTCTGGCATAGAATATAATTTCACAAGGAGCACTGCCCAGTGAGCTCTGAGGTCTCCTTTATGGGCTCATGGCCCGAGCTTTCTCAACAAAGACAAGGAAGAGTGGTACCTGTGTACCTGTAGAATCCTTGCCAAAACTTCGATACAAGGTTTTACTCAGACCTGCATCGCAACTTAATTGCTCAATAGACTGCAAGTTTATCAACTCGTTCCCCAAGCTATAACGCGTCTTTGCTTACATTAACAAGTTTTTAAATAGAATCCGAGGAGCTGAAGTAACTGTAAGCCACCCGTGAAATGCTACATTAGTCTGTTTATATGCTTTGCTACAAAGGCAATGCACTTAGAGCTTGTAAAAGATTTGTCTACAATATCGTTTCTAAACACACTAAAAATGTTCATCCTGACTCGCATTCGCCCTTCAAGGATCTGGTCTGACAATGCGACAAACTTCGTAGGCGCTAAGAATGAGCTGGCAGATCTCAGCCGCCTGTTCATGCACGAGCATGTCAAGACTGTTCACGTGTTTTGCCTATCCGACTCAAATGAATGGTCGTTCATCCCTCCTCGGTCTTCGCACTTTGGCGGGCTATGGAAAGCCGCTGCGAAGACTGCGAAGCACCATTTTTCTCGCTCTGTCGGCCCTTCCATCTTGGATTTCGATTCGCTGCGCACGCTCATCTTCCACATTACGGCAATTAATTATTCTCGACTATTACTTATACTTACAGAGCATCCCGATGATCTTGACGTCTTGACACCAGCACACTTCCTGGGTACAGCGCCATCTTCGTCATATTGAGCCTGATTTAAGGAAGCTTAATTTAATCCTCTTAGCTATTTTCAGCGCGTCACATATCTCCAACAAGTTACTTAGGCTCGTTG